AAAAAAAAAAAAAACAGCGACTGTGAATGAATACACCCACGACAAACTTCGCTACACACACAGAGAGGCAGCACCAACGCAAGTGATGCGTCATGCACAGCACCCCATTCAAACACTAAAGCCGTGCTTCCAGCGCCGCCACCTCCGCCTGCACGTTCGCCCGCGCTCTCACCTCTAACGCATCGTAGAAGAACTTCGTCTTGTACCACCGCGGGTGTTGCAAGAAGCCACGCAGAAACGCCGCACGACCCAGGCGAAAGTCGGCCTCACTGTGCCAACTGTACTCCCACCGAACATCGGCTGCGTACTGCTGGTAGCGCGCCGCCTCACTCCCTAAAATGGCGAGGTCTAGATCAAGAAATAGATGGAGATCACTTGGGGGCATCGGCACCGTTGCGGATTCATCCACGCCACTTCCACTGCCGATGTTGCTGTCTCCTCCCTCATGTTGCCCGTGGCACGGCTCCACCGACATGTGGTGCTTCGTCCTGAGAATGAACTCAACAACCCTCGCCTCCACAGTCGATGCAGTGTCGCCCTGTGTGTCGTCCCACAGCAGCGGCACCGGCGGGCCCTCTGCCTCGCCCAGGGTCACCGCTGTTGTTGTTGTTGTTGTTGTTGTTATTGTTGCTGCGTGCGACGTCGACAGCTGGCGGCACTCAGCCCAAAAGGTCTGGAACCACTCAGCACTGCGTTCCTCGTTATCGCCACGTCGTGGGTCGTAGACCGCGTCGTGGAACAGCAGCGCCAACTCCACGACGAGGCACCGCGTTGTGTCGCCCTCCAGTGGCAGGCGGTGCGCTGCCGGCGCCCCTGCCTGGTACCGTGCGAGTTGCTGCAGCATCTCCTCGAGGTGTGCGAGCGTGTGGTAGCGCCGCTGCGGTTCACTGTAGCGCGTGAAAATGTACGTTGCCCACAGCCTAGCGGCGGCGTCAGTGTGCTGCGAACGTAGCACGCGGCGGAGACAGCGCTCCCAACACGCATGCGTCAGCACAAAGGCGGGGGTGGTGGCACCACTCATACACCTCTGCAGCGCCGCACCCACATGGTCACTCATCCCCGCCACTATACAACCACAGCCCTCCTCCTGTGGGTGTTTATTTGCTTCTGCAGAAGCTTCACCGGTGGTGTGGCTATCGAGATGAGTGGGTAAGAGCGAAGGTGGAGGGGCAGAGAGCAGAAAGAAGCGCATTCAGGACGTTGCAGAAGTCAAGTGATAGCTTTACGGAGACGGGGAGGTATAAAAACGTTTGAATAGACTCGAGTACTCCTGTTCCTCATTTCCTGAAATAGGAGCAGTAATATGAACGCGTGCAGCAGTAAAGAGTAGGGGTAAGGCAAATGGTAAAAAGAGTAATAGCACAAAGAGGAGGAGGACGAAAAAAAAAAGGAACTACGGGTGAAAAATACGGTCGCAGCGAGTGCCCTTCACCCCAGAGTTTGTACATCTTCGCTCTTTTCTGGCGGATATATATATATATATATCGCCCTCACTCACCTTCCTCGCATTTTCGTCCTCTGTTTCTTTGCAGGTGCCTTCTGTTGCGCTGCCTGCCCCCTCCCCCCTCACCACCCCCTCCTCTACCCGAGTTGGCGGGCAAGTTAAACAAAACGAAAACAGAAAAAAGATCGAAACAGCAGTGTAAGAGCCAGAG